TCTGGAATTTCTGCAAAAATTATTTTACGAGTACTAATATACTAAAACTAAACTAGAACAGAACTGGTATAGAACTAGAACAGAACTAGAACAGAATTAGAACAGAACTAGAACTGAACTAGAACAAAACTAGAACAGAACTAGAACAGAACTAGAACAGAACTAGAACAGAACTAGAACAGAACTAGAACAGAACTAGAACAGAACTAGAACAGAACTAGAACAGAACTAGAACAGAACTAGAACAACAGAACAGAACAGAACTAGAACAGAACAGAACAGAACTAGAACAGAACTAGAACAGAACTAGAACAGAACTAGAACAGAACTAGAACAGAACTAGAACAGAACTAGAACAGAACTAGAACAGAACTAGAACAGAACTAGAACAGAACTAGAACAGAACTAGAACAGAACTAGAACAGAAATAGAACAGAACTAGAACAGAACTAAAACAGAACTACAACAGAACTAGAACAGAACTAGAACAGAACTAGAACAGAACTAGAACAGAACTAGAAAGAACTAGAACAGAACTAGAACAGAACTAGAACAGAACAGAACAGAACTAGAACAGAACTAGAACAGAACTAGAACAGAACTAGAACAGAACTAGAACAGAACTAGAACAGAACTAGAACTAGAACAGAACTAGAACAGAACTAGAACAGAACTAGAACAGAACTAGAACAGAACTAGAACAGAATAAACAGAACTACAACAGAACTACAACAGAACTAGAACAGAACTAGAACAGAACTAGAACAGAACTAGAACAGAACTAGAACAGAACTAGAACAGAACTAGAACAGAACTAGAACAGAACTAGAACAGAACTAGAACAGAACTAGAACAGAACTAGAACAGAACTAGAACAGAACTAGAACAGAACTAGAACAGAACTAGAACAGAACTAGAACAGAACTAGAACAGAACTAGAACTGAACTAGAACTGAACTAGAACTGAACTAGAACTGAACTAGAACGAACTAGAACAGAACTAGAACAGAACTAGACAGAACTAGAACAGAACTAGAACAGAACTAGAACAGAACTAGAACAGAACAGAACTAGAACAGAACTCGAACTAGAACAGAACTAGAACAGAACTAGAACAGAACTAGAACAGAACTAGAACAGTACTAGAAAAGAACTAGAACAGAACTAGAACAGAACTAGAACAGAACTAGAACAGAACTAGAACAGAACTAGAACAGAACTAGAACAGAACTAGAACAGAACTAGATCAGAACTAGATCAGAACTAGATCAGAACTAGAACAGAACTAGAACAGAACTAGAACAGAACTAGAACAGAACTAGAACAGAACTAGAACAGAACTAGAACAGAACTAGAACAGAACTAGAACAGAACAAGAAACAGAACTAGAACAGAACTAGAACAGAAATAGAACAGAAGTAAAACAGAACTAGAACAGAACTAGAACAGAACTAGAACAGAGCTAGAACAGAACTAGAACAGAACTAGAACAGAACTAGAACAGAACTAGAACAGAACTAGGACAGAACTAGATCAGAACTAGATCAGAACTAGAACAGAACTAGAACAGAACTAGAACAGAACTAGAACAGAACTAGAACAGAACTAGAACAGAACTAGAACAGAACTAGAACAGAACTAGAACAGAACTAGAAACAGAACTTAGAACAGAACTAGAACTGAACTAGAACTGAACTAGAACTGAACTAGAATTGAACTAGAACAGAACTAGAACTGAACTAGAACTGAACTAGAACTGAACTAGAACTGAACTAGAACTGAACTAAAACTGAACTATAACCTGAACTAGAAACTGAACTAGATCAGAACTAGATCAGAACTCGAACTGAATTAGAACAGAATTAGAAACAGTACTAGAACAGAACTAGAACAGAACTAGAACAGAACGAGAACAAAACTAGAACAGAACTAGAACAGAACTAGAACGGAACTAGAACAGAACTAGAACAGAACTAGAACAGAACTAGAACAGAACTAGAACAGAACTAGAACAGAACAGAACTAGAACAGAACTAGAACAGAACTAGAACTAGAACAGAACTAGAACAGAACTAGAACAGAACTAGAACAGAACTAGACAGAACTAGAACAGAACTAGAACAGAACTAGAACAGAACTAGAACAGAACTAGAACTGAACTAGAACTGAACTAGAACTGAACTAGAACTGAACTAGAACTGAACTAGAACTGAACTAGAACTGAACTAGAACTGAACTAGAACTGAACTAGAACTGAACTAGAACTGAACTAGAACTGAACTAGAACTGAACTAGAACTGAACTAGAACTGAACTAGAACTGAACTAGAACTGAACTAGAACTGAACTAGAACTGAACTAGAACTGAACTAGAACTGACTAGAACTGAACTAGAACTGAACTAGAACTGAACTAGAACTGAACTAGAACTGAACTAGAACTGAACTAGACTGAACTAGAACTGAACTAGAACTGAACTAGAACTGAACTAGAACTGAACTAGAACTGAACTAGAACTGAACTAGAACTGAACTAGAACTGAACTAGAACTGAACTAGAACTGAACTAGAACTGAACTAGAACTGAACTAGAACTGAACTAGGACTGAACTAGAACTAAACTAGAACTGAACTAGAACATACCTAGAAGAGAACCAGAACAGAACTGGAACAGACCTAGAAGAGAACTAGAACAGAACTAGAACAGAACTAGAACAGAATTAGAACAGAACTAGAACTGAACTAGAACAGACCTAGAAGAGAACTAGAACAGAACTAGAACAGACCTAGAAGAGAACTAGAACAGAACTAGAACAGAATTAGAACAGAACTAGAACAGAACTAGAGCAGAACTAGAACAGAATTAGAACAGAACTAGAACAGAACTAGAACAGAACTAGAACAGAACTAGAACAGAACTAGAACAGAACTAGAACAGAACTAGAACAGAACTAGAACAGAACTAGAACAGAACTAGAACAGAACTAGAACAGAACTAGAACAGAACTAGAACAGAACTAGAACAGAACTAGAACAGAACTAGAACAGAACTAGAACAGAACTAGAACAGAACTAGAACAGAACTAGAACAGAACTAGAACAGAACTAGAACAGAACTAGAACAGAACTAGAACAGAACTAGAACAGAACTAGAACAGAACTAGAACAGAACTAGAACAGAACTAGAACAGAACTAGAACAGAACTAGAACAGAACTAGAACAGAACTAGAACAGAACTAGAACAGAACTAGAACAGAACTAGAGCAGAACTAGAACAGAACTAGAACAGAATTAGAACAGAACTAGAACAGAACTAGAACAGAACTAGAACAGAACTAGAACAGAACTAGAACTGAACTAGAACTAGAACTGAACTAGAACTGAACTAGAACTGAACTAGAACTGAACTAGAACTGAACTAGAATTGAACTAGAACTGAACTAGAACTGAACTAGAACTGAACTAGAACTGAACTAGAACTGAACTAGAACAGAACTAGAACTAGAACTGAACTAGAACTGAACTAGAACTGAACTAGAACTGAACTAGAACTGAACTAGAACTGAACTAGAACTGAACTAGAACTGAACTAGAACTGAACTAGAACTGAACTAGAACTGAACTAGAACTGAACTAGAACTGAACTAGAACTGAACTAGAACTGAACTAGAACTGAACTAGAACTGAACTAGAACTGAACTAGAACTGAACTAGAACTGAACTAGAACTGAACTAGAACTGAACTAGAACTGAACAAGAACTGAATTAATATACTAGTCTTTACGTTCCCATGACAATTTGATATCCGCTCCGGAACTTCCCGATTCTCAATCGGCCAAAGATTGTCAACTAAGCAACAGCTGGGTCAACCGGAAGTTTTTTCCCCAGGAAAGAACATCCAGTCACAGCCAATCTGTTACAACAACAACTAGTCTGTAGACTGGACAAAAGGTCAGACTATGGTCCAGAAAAGAATCTAGATAGCAAGACTATATAATGTCTGGCTTATAATCCAGTCTAGTCTTTAATCTCAACTACAGTCTAGTTTATAGTCTGAGCTAAACTCATAGTACTATAGATTTGTTATTATATCTAGATACCTATGTATTTGCAATCATCCTATATTTATAAACATCTTTTTTTCGATACTATTTATTTAAGACATTAACTTAAATGTCACATGTATAAACAACAACAATAAACTTATTACATTAACTTGCCAATAATACATACATACAAAAATAAAATCCACTAAGCCACAAAAGCCACTGAGGCATTCACTCAGTAACTTGATATGGATTTAAAATACATGAGAAAAGCCTATACCTACATACAACAAATACAATAAATTAATAAAGAAATAAAACTTTAGTTTAAGTGATGAATAATAGGAAATACTATTTGGAGTATCAAGTCATTATATAATTCAAATAGATCGCATAGAAAATAAATAAAAAGAAAAATGTGCATTTAACGATGCAATGAAAGGAAACTATAAGTGTAGGTGGAGAAGAGGGAGGAGGAGGTCAAAAGTAAACAAAAGTAAATGGTAACATATTTAACCCATATTTAGGATATAACATACAAATGTATGTATATGTAAAATGCGTGTATGTATATGATTTTGCCTTTTTTTTCAGATCAATGTCAAGCATATACGGAATTGAACAGCAACAACCTTAAGCAAAAACCACCCAACAACATAACAAAAAACACCAACCTCCCAGCAAACCTTAAACAGCCCACCATCCACCCACCTAACTACCCGTTTAAACTATTTGGCTGAGGCCGTCAGTAAGTACAAAAGACAGCAGGGCATAAAATGAATACATAGACAAGACACACACAGGGAGGAGGAGAAGAAGAACAGAAAAAAATTAAGGTACACAAAAAATCGATCAAATCGTTAACAAAAAAGGAAAAAACTAAAGAATTTTTGAAAACCTAAATTTCCTCATGTTTTTCCTTTTAAATCCATAAAAATTTAAAATTTATACTTACAGAAGGCTCCAGTTATGCCTAGAATTCTAACACCATATTTTAAATACCAGGGCTGATCATCGGCTGGGCCAGGTTGCTGATTTGGTCTGGCCATTAAGTTGGCAATTTTCTCCGCAAAACTCTATAATATGGCAAATAAGAAAAATTTATTTGTTTTTTTCTTCATTTTCACTTTAAATTTTGTTTTAATTCTTCTAAAGAATAAATCAATTTCCAAAAAGTATATTTTTATCATTCTGCTGCATCATCAATTAGAAGGAATTTCAATATTCTTGTGCTTTACTTTTTTTCAAGTCTTTTGTATAGCAATTTTTCACTGTTTTTTTTTTTTTTTTTTTTCTTTAACAACTCACCATTTTGTGTGTTTTTTATTTTTTACTATGCACTTCTGTTTTAAGTTAATTAATTTTGGTTTTTTTATATTAATAATTGTATTTTATTGCTTATTTTTTGTGTAATCTTTAGTTGCACTTAAATAACTTCTTTTTTTCTATATATTTTTTCCGCCTTCTTTTTTCTTTGCATTAAACCAGTAATATAATTTTTTCACTTCTTCTTCTTCTCGACACTTATTTTTTCTACACTCTCTTTTTGTCTGACGTTGACACATTAGAATGGTAAGACAGAGTTGCTTTTAAAAAGTAGTAGATTTTTCTTATAGGAACGTAGTAAGATAAACAAATCAGCGTTTTTTTTCAATTTATATGAAATAAATGTTTTTTTTTATAAATTTTTTATTATTTATACACATAATTTTGAATAAAATGTAAAAAAATATATACAGTCTAGCCTTTTGGCTAGTCTATAGTCTAGACTATATTTTAGCCTACATTATAGTCTAATCTATAGTCTAGGCTATATTCTAGTCAATAGTGTAGCCTATAGTCTAGTATATTGTCTGGTCTATAGTCTAGTCTGTAGCCTAGTCTATAGTGTAGTCTATATTCTAATCTATAGTCTAGTCTATAGTCTAGTTTATAGTCTAGTCTAACCTATAGTCTAGTCTACAGTCTAGTCAACAGTCTAGTCTATAGTTTAGTCTGTAGTCTAGTTTATAGTCTAGTATATAGTCCAGTCTATAGTCTAGTCTATAGTCTAGTCTATAGTCTAGTCTATAGTCTAGTCTATAGTCTAGTCTATAGTCTAGTCTATAGTCTAGTCTATAGTCTAGTCTATAGTCTAGTCTATAGTCTAGTCTATAGTCTAGTCTAGTCTAGTCTATAGTCTAGTCTAGTCTATAGTCTAGTCTAGTCTATAGTCTAGTCTATAGTCTAGTCTATAGTCTAGTCTATAGTCTAGTCTAGTCTAGTCTATCCTATAGTCTAGTCTAGTCTAGTCTAGTCTATAGTCTAGTCTAGTCTATAGTCTAGCCTGTAGTCTAGTCTATAGTCTAGTCTATAGTCCAGTCTCTAGTCTAGTCTATAGTCTAGTTTATAGTCTAGTCTATAGTCTAACCTATAGTCTAGTCTATAGTCTAGTCTACAGTATAGTCAACAGTCTATTCTATAGTTTAGTCTGTAGTATAGTGTATAGTCTAGTTTATAGTCTAGTCTATAGTCCAGTCTATAGTCTAGTTTATATTCTAGTCTATAGTCTAATCTATAGTCTCTAGTCTCTAGTCTAGTCTATAGTCTAATCACTGTGCAATGTCTTCAGGAAACGAAAAAAAACGCATAAACAAAATTAATAAAATAATTAACTCTATCTCTCTGGCAACATTTTGTTTTCTTTTGGAATATCTCACTCAGCTGGCTTTGTTTACAAACATAAAATTTTCATAAACATTTTAAATATTTGTGAGAATTTTACAAAATTTTAAAAATAATTTAGGAAAATATTCATGAAAATGAATAAGTGTGGACTTTGTCAACAGCTTAATAATAATTTAATACAAATTTACACTAAACGTCTAAAATCTTTGGCACAAATTATACTAAAACTAAAAGGTTACAAGGTAATGGGTAAAAATATTGCTAAAATAGCATAAAATTTTATAAAAACTAATTTTTTTAATAAAAATTAATTTACAGCATAACTGGGATCTTAATTTACCTCTAATAATTTGTGAAAAATGTATACAAGGTCTCGAAAATGTAGCTACTCTCTGGGAAAGTATACCAGAAGCTAAACAGGAACATGCTAGGGAAAATGTAGGAACTCTGCCAGAAATATCAAAGCAAAAGATTGAAGAGGATGCCAAGCTAGTAGCTTCTAGTCATAGAAAACAAAATATACCGGCCATAACGATAATAAGTCCTGAAAACGCACAGAAAACTGTAAGAACTCCGCAGAAAATGGAAGAGCAAATGTTTGAAGAAGATAATAAGCAAGTAACACCTAGTCATACACAAGCAAAATTACCAGCCATAACTTCTTTAATAATACCTGATGAAAGTTTGGACAAAACTTATCACGAACCCATCAAATTACGCATTAAACTACCACCTAAAAGGAAAAGAAAAAATAAAGTTCTAACACATAATATTGTAGACATGGAAGCATTAAATACTAACACTGAAATAGCTGCCAAACGTTTAAGACGTCCTCCCAAACGTTATGAAGATTTCAGTATCAACTCGCCCAATAAAAAGTCAACTTCTTCAGAATCTTCCAATATTTCAAACGAACAGACTTTAGAGAGCCTACCCGAAATGTCTACATTACGTTTAAGTAATGGTGATGTTATTGCGAAACTTGTGGAAGTAGATAATAGTGATATTTCCTCTAAATTGAGGATTTTATGCCAATTTTGTGCAAAAGTCTTTCATTTTGAAAAGGACTTTCAAAAGCATTTAAAAACTCATAATATTAATGTATTAAGTGGTGTGGCGGATGGTGAACAAAACTATTTATTTTATTGTAAAGTATGTGATAAATCGTTTCGTGAACATTATGCTGTAAGAAGACATTATAGAATTGCTCACAATGAGGAGAGGCCTTTGAAATGTGAATATTGTGAGGCGAGTTTTAAGGTAAATATTTAAAGTGGAAAAAATAGAACTGAACTAGAACTGAACTAGATCTATATTAGAGCTGAACTAGAAATGAATAAGAACTGTACCAGAATAGAACTGGAACAAAACTAGAACTGAAATTGAACTGAACTAGCACTGACCTAAAACTAAACTAGAACTGTACTGAACTTAAACTGAACTAAAACTGAACTAGAACTGAACTAATCTAGAAATAAAATAATCTCTTTTCCTTTCAAGTACAAATTCAATCTCGATTATCACATGGCTAAACACATTCCCAAAAAGCGTTTTGAATGTGATTACTGCAAGAAAACCTTCGTTTTACGATATGAACTGCAAATCCATCTAAGGACTCATACAAACGAAAGACCATATAAGTGCCAGGTGAGTTTTTAATTCATTTTTTATCAAAATTTTCGAACGAAAATCTATTAAAATTTTATTTTTGTTATAGTTTTGCTCCTTTGCCTTTGCACATCAAACAAATTTAAAGAATCATCAGAAAGTTAAACATAATAAAGTGTTAACGAACAGTTCAATTCTTAAAAATACCAACCAGGACAATGATGCGTACCGTGAAAGTATGAAAGAAAAACATTTGGAATTCACTACAAATGAAGCCATAGAAGAACAGACTGTGTTATTAGAACAAAATCATACGGATTTAAGTTTTTCTATGAATTTTGAAGAGTTTTCCAATGATTTAAAGGATGTTAATGGTGAAATGTATTCTACTGACAGACAAGAGTTGATGGAGGATAAAGCTGGTATAGAAACTGATTTTCAGGATTATAATGCTGCTAAAAGTTTAGCAACAAGTGATGATAGTGATGTACTAATGGATTGTATTGATGAACGTTTTAAACATTTGCCTAAAAACGCTACTGTTCATATAGATAGCAATATTTTAAAAGCTTTAGAATCCTCGGAACTTTTAGGTCTAAAGAAATGGCCAAAATCTTTTCAAAATACAACAACAACTAATGATAGTTATAGTTCTTCTTCAGTAAAAGAAACTAAAAACTCTTTAGTTGCCGAAGTTAATGAGGAAAATCTTTATACAAACGAGAAAACTACAGAAAATGAGGCAGAAAGCAAGACGGAGGAGTTTTTGAATGAATGCACTTCACAGCCTTTGGATTTCGACAACGATTCACTAAATATGTCTGTAACAAAATATGAACCTTTAGCAACTGTAACAAATCCAATTGAATTTGAAGTCAATACCAATTCCTCAAGTATTTCCCATTCTTTTGAAACTCCTGAGAGTAATAACGTCTTTAAAGGAGAATCTGTATTTCAGTTGAATAAGGATCATACCAAAAATAACCAAATCTTAAATTTTCAAGTTCCTAGCGGCAGTACTCTCACCAAAGGTGGCAAATTTATAAATATATCAAAGCTTTCGCAAGCCTCCTGTTCTCGTCTAGACTTCAAACCTTCAAGCCATTTAAAACAAATTGAAATTGTGGAAAATAACTTTAAAACTTTACAACAAACTAAAAATATAACATCTCCTAAGGACAATACAATGGAAATTTCTAAAATGCCAAATACAAATGAAGAAAATAATACAAAATCCTGGAAAGTAATCAAAATAAGTTCAAGACCTGTTAAACTAAGAAATATTTGTAATTTAAACAACTTAACAGCACAAAAAGAGACCTTAAACTCCCAGATTGCAGCTGCAAAGCTCAATAACTTAAACAACTTTTCAAACAAAGTTCTTCCAGATCAACAACATATAACAATTTCTCCTAATAACGCTAACAAATCCAACAATTTAAGGGTTTCCCAAGTGCCTAGAAATGCTAACAAACGCTCAGCACAATCCTTATTAAAATCTCCTACAAAAGCCCATCAAAACAACACTTTAACTCTAGCAAATCCCACTAAAAACTCCACAAACTTATCCAACAAACCTTTAATAACAAACATAGAAATCTTGCCGCCTCTTAACACTGTCCAAACTTTATCCAACCCCGCACCAGTAACTTTAATAAAACCTCCAGTCCATTATAAATACCAATGTCCCCACTGCTATAAGTATTTCAAACAAAAATCTCCTTTAACAAAACATTTGCGCACTCATACCGGCGAAAAACCCTACAAATGCAACCTATGTCCCAAATCCTATGCCGATGCCTCCAACTATAAGAAACATAAAATTTTACATAAAAATGCTGCCGAAGCTTTAAATATCAGCCGTTCCAATGCTTATGCTGTACACAATTCTCCTGCCTATTCTACCGTCTCCGATCCTGATCCCGATGGTATAGAAATAATGCAAACCATAAAAAAGTTCGAAAGTACTACAGCTAAAGAAGAGGATGATGATGACGACGACGATGATGCTTCTTTAAGTTCTTCAACCATGGAATCTTATATGTGGCAAGATGCTTTGGAAAATGTTTTAAATAATGAGGAAATAATGGAAAATATTAAAAAGAATTTGGCTGGTATTAATAATGCTATTATGCCGAAAAGTATACAACAAATAGCTACAAAAAAGCAGACAAATCTTTGTGATATAAATAGTTTTTCTAGTGAGGATCCGGATTAAAGTGAATCTTGGATTTTTTTCTAAAATAGTTTTAGAGAATTTTTAATTTATTTTGTTGTTTTTAAGGAAAATTGAAATAAACTTTTTTGTTGGAAAGCTACTTTGGTGATCTTGTGTATTCCAAATGATCATCATTGCTTGATCCCTATTTGATAAACTTTTTTGTAAAATTTTCATCACTGTTTGATCATATGTTCTATATAAATATTGATCACAGTTTGATCAAATGATCACATAGTGATCATGTTTTCTTCTGAAAAATTGATTACTATTTGATCAACTTTTCTATAATGATCACATTATGATCAACCTTTCTATACAAATGTTGATCACAATTTGATCAAGTTTCGTATAGAAATGTTGATTACTGTTTGATCAACTTTGCTATAGAAATGTAGATCACATTGTGATCAAACTTTTCTATAGAAATGTAGATCACATTGTGATCAAACTTTTCTATAGAAATGTAGATCACATTGTGATCAACTTTTTTACAGAAATGTAGATCACATTGTGATCAACTTTTCTATAGAAATGTAGATCACATTGTGATCAACTTTTCTATAGAAATGTAGATCACATTGTGATCAAACTTTTCTATAGAAATGTAGATCAAATTGTGATCAAACTTTTCTATAGAAATGTAGATCAAATTGTGATCAAACTTTTCTATAGAAATGTAGATCACATTGTGATCAAACTTTTCTATAGAACTGTAGATAACATTGTGATCAAACTTTTCTATAGAAATGTAGATCACATTGTGATCAAACTTTTCTATAGAAATGTAGATCACATTGTCATCAAATTTTTCTATAGAAATGTAGATCACATTGTGATCAAACTTTTCTATAGAAATGTAGATCACATTGTGATCAAACTTTTCTATAGAAATGTAGATCACATTGTGATCAAACTTTTCTATAGAAATGTAGATCACATTGTGATCAAACTTTTCTATAGAAATGTAGATCACATTGTGATCAAACTTTTCTATAGAAATGTAGATCACATTGTGATCAAACTTTTCTATAGAAATGTAGATCACATTGTGATCAAACTTTTCTATAGAAATGTAGATCACATTGTGATCAAACTTTTCTATAGAAATGTAGATCACATTGTGATCAACTTTTCTATAGAAATGTAGATCACATTGTGATCAACTTTTCTATAGAAATGTGGATCACATTGTGATCAACTTTTCTATAGAAATGTGGATCACATTTTGATCATCTTTTCTATAGAAATGTAGATTACATTGTGATCAACTTTTCTATAGAAATGTAGATCACATTGTGATCAAACTCTTCTATAGAAATGTAGATCACATTGTGATCAAACTTTTCTATAGAAATGTAGATCACATTGTCATCAAACTTTTCTATAGAAATGTAGATCACATTGTGATCAAACTTTTCTATAGAAATGTAGATCACATTGTGATCAAACTTTTCTATAGAAATGTAGATCACATTGTGATCAACTTTTCTATAGAAATGTAGATCACATTGTGATCAAATTTTTCTATAGAAATGTAGATCACATTGTGATCAAACTTTTCTATAGAAATGTAGATCACATTGTGATCAAACTTTTCTATAGAAATGTAGATCACATTGTGATCAAACTTTTCTATAGAAATGTAGATCACATTGTGATCAACTTTTCTATATAAATGTAGATCACATTGTGATCAACTTTTCTATAGAAATGTAGATCACATTGTGATCAAACTTTTCTATAGAAATGTAGATCACAATGTGAACAACTTTTCTATAGAAATGTATATCACATTGTGATCAACTTTTCAATAGTAATGTGGATCACATTGTGATCAACTTTTCTATAGTAATGTGGATCACATTATGATCAACTTTTCTATAGTAATGTGGATCACATTGTGATCAACTTTCCTATAGAAATGTGGATCACATTGTGATCAACTTTCCTATAGAAATGTGGATCACTTTGTCTTCAACTTTTCTATAGAAACGTGGATCACATTATTATCAACTTTTCCATAGAAATGTAGATCACATTGCGATCAACTTTTCTATAGAAATGTAGATCACATTGTGATCAACTTTTCTATAGAAATGTAGATCACATTGTGATCAACTTTTCCATAGAAATGTGGATCACATTGTCATCAATTTTTCTATAGAATTGTGGGTCACATTGTGATCAATTTTTCTATAGAATTGTGGGTCACATTGTGATCAATTTTTCTATAGAAATATGGTTCACATTTTGATCAATTTTTCTATAGAAATATTGATCACATTGTGATCAACTCTTCTATAGAAATATTCATCATATCAATACTGATCTTCACATTTGGATCATTCCGATTAACTTATCGTTCCAAAGATTTGAATCATTTTAATCCGCACTTAGTTGTTATGATCTAGCATAACCTCTCTGTGTTATTAGTTTCCTTTAAAAGAGTCTCAATCAACATCCTTTCTAATTCATTGATGCTCTTACCCTTTTTTTCTAGACTTTAGAATTCCCGCCAAATAAAAAGATCTTATTATTGCTTTTTTGTTCTGCTGTTTCATTTGGTGTTTTCAATTTTTATTAATTGTTTTTTTTTTCAATTTTTTTCCATAATTCTTTTTAAATCTAAAGTACAAAATAAACTCATGTTTTTTTTTTCTTTCGTTTGTTTAACAAATTACTTTATCAATACCACAGTTTGTTTTTTAGTTGTTTTTTTTTTTTTAACAAGTCTTTTCAAATAGTTTTTTTTACACATAAAATACTTTCCAGTAAATACTCCAGAGTAAGGAGTAAATAATGTGGCCATAGCTGGTCTTGTAGTAGTTTTGTTTGGGCCTTTTTTAACAGATTATTTCTATAATTAACAACCAGTTGTTAAGGCGTTTAATTGCTTGGTTTGTTGTTAACCTTTGTTAAGCATAAAGAGGAGGCCTGTGTGTTTTTTTAAACTTAACATTTTCTTAAAATTAAGTGTGAATTGTATGTGTATAGGAGTTTTACATTATAATAGTTAAGTGTTCCGGTGTGTTATCTAAATAAACAAATGCAAAGCAAATACAATTATTTAAAAAAAAAAGACTTAAATTAAAATAAGTTTAATAATTATTTATAATTATAGAAAAGAAATATAAAGGAACTTAAATACATAAACATTAATATTACAAAAGATAAGAACACTTAAAAGTTGTTCTATTATTTATAGAAAAAATGTTTTAAATTGTAGAATTTTTAACAAAATTTCTAAGATTTTTATAATTTATAAAAAGTTTTACAAATTTGTTTAATTAAATTTCATAACATTTGCTTAATTTTGTAATACCCGTTGAATTTAGCAGCCTTCAAATCATTCTAACCTTAAAATTTTCTCAAATTTAAGGTTAGGAACGTTTTTATAATTCATTTTCTGTTAAACTTGATATATGTTCTTAAATTTCTACAATTTAAAACCTTTTTTCTTTAAGTGTTTTCTCCTTTTTATATTAACTGGGTTTTTTTCTTTTAGCACTTAAGATTCTTCTTAATTTAAAACTTTAAATATTTGGCCACATTTGTCTTTACCAAGGCTTAATAGATAAACTTAAAATAATCGTTCTAAAAAAGTTATAAACTTTGAGAAGAAATCTAGTTAAAAGAGGAATAATTTTAGAAATCGAATAAAATATATTAACAATCTTTCCATAGAACTATTGATCATAGTTTGATCTATCTTTCCATAGAAATGTTCATTATAGTTTGAACATTTGTTTTATAAAAATGTTGTCCAGAATTTGATCATCTTTGGTAATAAAGGTTGATCGCACAATAATGTACTTTTCTATAGAAATGATGCTCTCACAATGATCCACTATGCTATAGAAACATTGATTCTAATCAACTTTTCAACAGAAATATTGATCATCATATTGTGAACAACTTTTAAACCAAAATATTGATCACTTTGTGATTAACTTTTCTAAGAAATATTGATCATATTATGATCAGCTTTTCAACCAAAATATTGATTATATTATGATCAACTTTTCAACAGAAGTATTGATTATATTATGATCAACTTTCCTAAGAAATATTGATCACATTGTGGTCAACTTTTTAACAGAAGTATGGATCACATTACGCTATGAAATATTGATCATATTATGATCAACTTTTCAACAGAAATATTGATCATATTATGATCAACTTTTCAACCAAATATTGATCACATTATGATTAACTTTTCTAAGAAATACTGATCATATTATGATCATATTTTCAACAGAAATATGATCTCTTTGTGATCAAGTTTCTTAAGAAGTATGGGTCTCATTATGCTATGAAATATTGATCATATTATGATCAACTTTTCAACAGAAATATTGATTATATTATGATCAACTTTTCAACCAAAATATTGATCACTTTGCGATCAACTTTTCTAAGAAATATTGATCACATTGTGGACAACTTTTTATGCTATGAAATATTGATCATATTATGATCAACTTTTCAACAGAAATATTGATCATATTATGATCAACTTTTCAACAGAAATATTGATCATATTATGATCAACTTTTCAACAGAAATTTTGATCATATGATCAACTTCCAAAATATTGATCACTTTGTCTAAGAAATATTGATCGGATTGTGATTAACCTTTCTAAGAAACTTTTCAGAAATATTGATCACTTTGTCTAAGAAATATTGATCGGATTGTGATTAACCTTTCTAAGAAACTTTTCAGAAATATTGATCATATTATGATCAACTTTTCAACCAAAATATTGATCACTTTATGATCAACTTTCCTACGAAATATTGATCACTTTATGATCAACTTTTCTAAAGAAATATTGATAAGGCTCTGATTATCTTTTCGGCAGAAATATTGATCACATTATGATCAACTTTTCGACAGAAATATTGATCATATTATGATCAACTTCTCTGTAGAAATAGTGATCATATTTTGATAGAATTAATCACATTATGATTAATAATTAATCACATTATGATAAACTTTTCCAAGAAATGTTAATAATATTATGATCATATTATGATCAAGTTATGATCATAATATGATTAACTTTAATGTTTTGAAAAAAAGAATTAAAAAATTTAAATAGAAAACTTGAAGTTTTCTTTACAAAATATTACCAAATTCTCTCAAAGTTTATAAAACTTTAAAACATAATTCACATCATAGTTCTTCTTATAATATAATAAAACTAAACATATCCCAGAAATAATCATTAATTTAAACAAATAAAACTTATTTGTTTATTTAGTGCTGTTACAAAAAAAGGTGGTTATTTGGTAAAATATTGTTCGTTTGTTTGGACAAAAAAAAAAAATAAGATTTTATTCTGTACTTTATCAGAAAAATCGTTTAAAATATATTTTATTTATGGTTTTTTTTAACATAAGCTGAGTTTTCAAACTAAGGGCGGGTTTCTTACTACTCAGTTAAACTAGGCTTAACTTGCTGTTAGATTAAACTCGAAGCAAATTTAAGCGGACTTTAACCGATGATTGTGTTTTTCAGTTATGGATTTAAGTTCAATTAACTTTGTTAGTATTGCCAACTTTTCACTCAAAAACATAAACAATGAACAGCTGTTTTTTGCAAATAATACATTTGTAAAATGAAAATTTTTGGAAAAATGTTAAATAAACATTTAAAACAATAATAAATAAAACAAAACAAATCAGAAAATTGCAATTTACTTAAAATATTAAATTTTTGTTCTTCCGAAATCATTGTTTTATTGTTTTTGTTAATTGTGTCTTCTCACTTATAACTTAAGTTTAATTGGCCAATAACACTCAGTTAAACTAAGATAATAAGTAACGTTACTGTTTACTGAAAAACACAAAACATATATTAAACTAGGTTTAACCAAAGAATGTAGATTATCTTTATCTGAAAAACCCGCCCTAAAAAGTTTAACAAGTTTCTTGTCAATCTTTTTAGTTTGATAACCGAGTATTTGTTTTTGTTTTTCTGTTTTTTTGTTTAAAATTGACATTCAAAATAAATACGTTTTCAGTCTAAAGTTTATAGAAAATTTTCTTTAAAATTGTTTTGATTTAAAACATTTTTAAAGAAAATTTTTAACTCATTTTGTATAAATTTTTTATGTCAATTTTAAACAAATAATAAGTTTTAAAAAGAAAACCAATTTTCTTTTTGGTGAAATTCGTAAAAATTCATTTTGAAATTAATTTTTAGAAATCTTTGTGTAAATTTTATAACAAATTTACAAGGTTTTTTTTTAAATAAAATTTATGATCTTGCAAAGAAATTTCCTTAAAATTTGAAGAGGAAATTTTTTGTTCTTAAAATGGGAATTCATAACTTCATAAAAACTCCGCAGATTTTGATCAAATTGTGATCAACTTTTCTATAAAAATGACGATCACATTGTGATCAACTTTTCTATAGAAATGACGATCACATTGTGATCAACTTTCTATAAAAACGACGATCATATTGTGATCAACTTTTCTATAGAAATTACGATCACATTGTGAAAAACTTTTCTGTAGAATGACGATCATATTGTGATCAACTTTTCATATAGAAATGACGATCATATTGTGATCTACTGTTCTCTAGAAATGACGATCACAATGTGATCAACTTTTCTATAGAAATGACGATCACAATGTGATCAACTTTTCTATAGAAATGACGATCACAATGTGATCAACTTTTCTATAGAAATGACGATCACAATGTGATCAACTTTTCTATAGAAATGTGGATCACATTGTGATCAACTTTTCTACAGAAATGTGGATCACATTGTGATCAACTTTTCTATAGAAATGACGATCACATTGTGATCAACTTTTCTATAGAAATGACGATCATATTACGATCTATTTTTCTACAGAAATATGATCAGATTGCGATCAACTTCTCTATACAATATTTATCACATTGTGATCAAATTTTCTCTAGAAAGTGATCGCTATACGATCAAAATGGATCACAGAAAAAGAGTCTAACAAATTTTCATCTTTTTAGTTATTTTTACAAAACTTAGTTATACATTTTATAATAATTAAGATTTCATTTATTTTTTTTAAACTATTTGAAGTTCTCTGTGAAAATATCATTGAAAACTTAAACTTTTTGAATTTTTTTTTATAAAAATCTAGTTCAAAACTAGTTAAGAATAATATTGCTATTTAAAGAGTTTTAAAAACTCTTGGATCATAGTGTAGATCACTTTATATTAATTTGAAAAAGTTTCAATGAATATGGCTTTAGCAAGCTGCAGTGTTTTACAAAATTAAATGTTTTATTGAAAACATTTAGAATATGATTTTTTTGATTAATTTTTCTTCAAAACTTTATTGTCCTTAGAGAAAAAAATGGCAGCATTTTTTGTTTGCATTTGGGACAATGTTAACATAAATAATGTTAAGTTTGTTATTTACTATATTTAATGGCAGTAGTTTAAAATTATATAAGACGTTTAGTCTTTATAATATAATTGATAATTATTTCATAAACATGTAAAAACAGCTTCTAAAGAAGCGAAAAAGTAATGAATATTACATGTTTTTTTTTACAGTAACATTGCTTTTCTTTTTTGATTTATATGAAGGTTTTTCAGGAATACTTTGCAACAGAAAATGTGATGACCTAAAATGTTTTATTTATAGATCTTTAAAATCTTTTTAATTGATTTGTAATTGTATGAATGAATGGCAGTTTTTTAATAAAAAATAAAAATTTTGTACAATTTTATGGAAATGTATAACTAATTTCTGTTAAATTAAATTGATTGATCACAAACTGATAAACATATATGATCACAATTTGATCAACTTTTCTAGAGAAATATTGTTGACAGTTTAATCTTCTTCTCTATACAAATATTGATCACAGTTTGATCATACATTTTAGAGAAATATTGATCACAGAATGATAAAATTTTTCTATGAAAATATTGATCATAGTATGATCAACTTTTCTGTGGAAATTTTGATCACAGTTTGAACAATGTTTCAACAGAAATTGATCATAGTTTCTTCA